TGTAATATTGTTGCAGATGTACAGCCTTTAACAGTTACTAAACGACAGTTGTATATGTGCTTCCGTTGAGAGTAATTTGTTGGCTAAAGTAGTAAATTTGCAACCCAAAACAACAAGGCTCAGGTGTGTTGTATAAACGTTACCATGGATGCCACAACACAACTATTTTGACTACCGCGCAAATATGCCGTATAAAATAGTTGTATAAACGTTTATGCAACAGTTCCATATTTTCCATATTTGACGTATAACTAATGCTTTAAGAATATTTGAAACACCTCATTTTAGAGTAAATATGCTGCAGAAAGCAAATTTGTATTCCACACAACATTAAGCCAGCATTTTGATGGTCAGGCAACAACAATAGAGAGCTTTTACGGCTGAACAGTTCTTTTACCAAAAGCTTATAGCACTACTTTGCTAGTTGGGTCATTGCCTTCCTTTGCCCCAATTGGCTGTTCCACCATTCTAGGGACTTTTTCTTGGTCCAATTTCTTATAGACTATTTTAGGCGTGTTCTTGTTACGCCACAGAAAGGCCCCGGACCTATAAGGTGATTAACCACACCCTGTCGGGCTAGCGCATTTGCCTTATCATTTCCTTTGTGCCCTTCATGTCCTGGTATGCAGGGCAATGTTACCTTGTTTCAGTTTCCCAGCTCTTTGAGAGTGTTCACCTAATCCCATACTAGCTTAGACAATATTTGCGATGAACTTAATGCCTTTATGGCAGCCTGACTATCTGAGCAGATGGCGAACGACTGATTTGCAGTCTCATTTCTTATTGCCTCTTTTGCGCAGACTTGTATGTCCGTTACTTCGGCCTGAAATATTGTTGCAATACTGTCTAGACTTACAGAGATTTCAGTTTTTGGCGTTGCCCCATAAATCCCAGCTGGAGCTGGAGCTCCGTCTCCAGTTTTCGAGCCGTCTGTGTACCAGTAGCTTTTGGCATGTATAGGAGGTTGTTTCTCCCACGCCCACGCCTTCCTTCTTTGTACTATTGTTTAATAGTTTTTATTGAAATTGTATATATAATAAAATAAATAAAATATAGGATCTGCCTTCAACTCCGTATGCAGTTTCTGATGGTCTTATCCATGCTGCCGACTGATCGGGAATTGGCCTATGTACAATGGTGACAGGTCGAGAATGGCCCCCGTGGCGCTCACGCTCAAGCAAGCTAGCCTCGGTGCGCCATTTAACACGTTAAACGTCAATCAATATTTTAGAAACATGTCCACCAGGCCAAAGTCCAATTTTGCGTAACTTATGCTTCCGATGACTAACATAATGCAAAAATACGTTTGATTTATATTTTCCATAATTTCTTGAGCTGTTTTCATGTTTTTCTAAGCGGTCCTCTGGGACCGCCATGGCGTGGCGGGAAGCATATGCCATGCACGCCATGGCGGTCCGATTAGCGGTCCAATTTGACTTGTCGGTTCCTGTTCGGTTCGCGCGAATCAGTCTATTATTTACCACCGCAGAGTACACATTGATGTTAGGATTGATAGTTATAGCATTCAGATAGTACATTTTACGTGCAATTTCAAAATGAGTCAACGTGCGAAGCGTTTAGTTCAACTTGCAAAAAACTTTTCTTCGAAGTATAGCGACGGTAAGGCCTATGAAAAATATTTCACTGCCTATAAAATTACAAAAAATATTTTTCAGACTCCAGTTCGTCTTCTGAATCGCTGAACGATCCATTTCATTGCTCTTCTGATGAAGATCCTACATATCAGGTAGACGAAGTGGAAGCCGAAGACAATTATTCAGAGTCTGAAGAATCTGAGCATCACTTGTTACTACCATTGCCTGCTTCCGTAGTATCTGATAATACCGATTGTAACCAACCAACAAGTACACCTCCACAGTTCCAATCATTGGATGAAACTCAAGATGAAAATACTTATACGACTAGTCCAGTAAATGAAGTCATCCATAATATGGAAACAGACAATCCTAACTATGATGATCAGGACATAATAGTGGAAGCATATAATATTGCGTGGAAAGACCCAGTAGGCAATAATGAGGTATTTCCCTTCGATCCCAAAAATACTGGGGTAAATCCAGATATTGCAGCAGCATTAGTTGACCAATCCCCGATCGATTTTTTTTTCGCTTTTTATTGACGATGAAATTATCCAAATTATAACCGACCAAACTAATCTATATGCATCCCAGAAGTTATTGAATATAGACGATACTTCCGAAGGTAGTCGTGACCATGAGTGGACACCGACCAATAAAGAGGAAATCAAAAAATTTATTGGCATCATAGGATACATGGGTTTAGTCAAACTTCCTACCATGGATAGATATTGGACTAAAACGAAAAAGATATACCACAACAGTGTTGTTGGACAAATTATGAGTCGGAATCGGTTTGAATTACTTCTGAATATGTGACATTTTACCGATAATGATATGTGCCCTGAAGGAGATCGAGGGTACAAAATCGAACCGTTCATGAATTTATTGTTGAAAAAATTCCAAGAGGCCTACACTCCTGTCCAAGAATTCTGCATAGACGAAAGTTTGATACCATTTCGTGGTAGACTCATAATGAAGCAATATATTCCCCAGAAAACGCATTAATATGGCGTGAAAATGTTTAAGCTTTGTTGCGGATCCGGTTTCACGTGGAACATGAAGTTATATTGTGGCAAACATAAAGATGCCGGCATATCTGTCCCAACTAACATAGTTATGCATTTATCACAGAAACTTCTTGATTCTGGGCGTACTGTCATCACTGACAATTATTATACAAGTTTGGAGTTGGCCAACAAATTGCTGGACAAAAAAACACATTTAGTAGGAACTCTAAGAGCCAATCGCAGAGGAAATCCTATGGTGGTAACTAACAAGAAACTGGGGAGATTGTTGCAAAAGAAAACGAACGGGGTATATGTATTATGAAGTGGAAAGATAAGAGGGATGTGCTCTTGTTGTCCACCAAGCATACACATGAAACTGTAATGGTGCATAAACGGGCTGGAGATGTAGAAAAACCTATAGCAGTCTCAGAATATAACAAAGCAAAAAGTTCAATTGACTTATCAGATCAAATGGCTAGTTGTCATAGTGCGCTTAGAAAAACAGTAAAGTGGTATAGGAAAATTGCAATAGAGTTGATATTTGGAACTGCTCTGGTAAATGCCCATTTTCTTTATAAAGCCATAAATAATAGGTCAGTTTCCATTACCGAATTCAAAGAGAGTATCGTAGAGAGTCTCATGTTTCAAAGAAATGAAACTAGTCAACCGTCTGTGTCCGGCACAAGACGAGAACGTCATGTACTGAAAAAGAAAGAGGGAAAATCACATGAAATAAGAAAATATTGTAAAGGATGTTACAGTAAAAAAACAAGGGGTGAAATACAAAAAAACAAAGTGCCAAAAGTCACCATGTATTGTGGTAGTTGCGAAGGGAATCCTCATTTTTGCCTCGAGTGTTTTGGAACAAATCATAAATAACATACTGCTTTGTATCTGTTTATAAATTACTTTATTTCTATGTAGTTTTATTTGGCAGAGACTTTGTATAAGTTCAGTATCTTTGAAATAAATTATTTTTATGGAAAAAATTGAATTATGCCGTTTTAATAAATCACATAAAAAAGTTGGTCTATGGGTATAATCCACACAAGCCATAGCGGTCCATGTCTAACGATAAAACTGATTTATATATGGCCCGCTGGCTGGAGTGGCGGTGAAAATACATCGAATACAAAGCGGTCCATATGGACCGCCGTGGCGTGATAGACCTGCTGTCAAGCGGTCCCATGGGACCGCCATGGCGTTTAACGTGTTAATAGCCTCATCGCTCACGACTATGTAGTCTTTGTCCACCATGTCACTGATCCATACGTTATCATGGGTTTAACCACCCTCGTGTATATCATTTTTTATGTTTAACCCCTAAGTTCTCCCGCAGATCTGCCTACACCTTCCTAGGGCTATTGTAGCTTCCTATGATGTTCTGTTGATGTGAGAGTTCCACATTAATCTTTGCTCAAAAATGACTTCAAGATATTTTGCCTCACTAGCATAGGGGATCTCTACACCATGCAGGGTTAGTGGCGTGAAGCCTTCTAGTACCCGCCTTCGTGTGATAGCAGCGACGGTTGACTTGTGTGGATTTAAAGCTAGGCTTTACATCCTGCACCACCTGTCGACAATATTCATGGCCCTTTGGGATGATTAGTCTATCAAATGATATGACTGTTGCCTAAAATACTCAAAATGACCAACTAGGAAGGAAAATATATGTTATTGCAATAATCGATATTTTTAGAAAACTCGATAAAAATTGATTTATCTTAGAATCAGTGTTGAGACAAATTACATGGTAAAATCTTTCGGTAACGATTTTGTCTATAACATCCTTAGATATCCTCCACCACTGTCCGTGTAGTCCAGATTCATTGATTTCCGTTTTGAAATTCAAAACAACTAAATCATTTAACATACATCAAAATTGCGTAATTTAAATTTTTGCTTAAATATACATATTGCAAATCAAATACATATATAGCAGCTCATTTGAATATCTCGTCCTGATCCGATGATATATTGTCAACAGATTCCACACTAACAATATAGGACGCTTTCACAAAAACTAGAATGATTAAATTAAAACAAGCTGATCAAAATTTGATGGCATTTATTGACGTCAACTACGTAAAATGATTTTTTTTTGATACCCAAACAATAATCACTTATAGCATGATAGCTGATAGTGAGCATGAAGCCAAAAGGAAAGGTCTTTCCCCAAAATTAGTAGGATAACAGGGAAAAATGATTTCCTATCACTGTTGATATGTGTTTTCGATTATTAAATGGATCATTTTCCTAACACAGCTCAGCTCGGGTCACAAAACCTTTTCAACCGACCAATTACGTCGAATAGATATGGTAAACTATTCGTCATTCTTGTCAGACGCTGGAATTATTGTAGATGTAGACCCTTGGTTGCACCTTGAAGCCAGTGAAGAACGATTTTTTTCTGAATGGATAGAAGTCACCCAGGCCAACCATTTTTCAGCCACAAATCAGACGCCATCTACATCTAATGGATATAATAATAATAATAATAATAATAATAGTAATAATAATAATAGTAATAGTAGTAATAATAATAATAAGAGTAATAAAAATAATAATAATAATAATAACAATTAACGTCCTTTTTATTGGTAATAGTATTGCAGGAGGCGAGATTTAGATAATATATCTATTCTACATTAATACTTGTATTAATAACGACAAAATAAAGTATCTATAATCTAAGTAAAGGCAGGATTATGTTGCTGAACTTCTTTCACTGTTTTCTTGAATTTGGGTAATAAATTGGTTTCTTTTCTTTTACACTTCGGCCTAAAGAATTATAGGATTTGATCGCATTGTAAATATATGTATTCTGAAATAGAGATGTGCTGTGGCATGGAATTGGAAAAGTCTCTCTATATCTAATATTAATGCCATGCATATGCCCTCTACGTATGAATTTGTTTACTAAATATGACGGTGTTTTTTAATAACTATCAAATCTATTTCCAAGTTAATATAAATAGAAAAATATCCCTTCTTGTATAAAGATTCACTGAATCGAGTGAACACAGAACAACTTAACATTTTTCAGTGATTGGACAGATGTCCAATAACCGAACTTGTTGAAAAAAAAACTATGAGTGATTGGACAGAACATATTTCTGAAATTATCAACTCAAACTTGTTTTTGATGCAGTCTAAAGCTTGACAACAAATATCAGTACGAGCGCAATACAAAAATAGATGCTTACCTTGAGAACAAATGTAGAATTCTTTGTCGATACCTGAACCGCAACGCTAACACGAACATTAGCTTCAGAGTCAAGAACATAACCTATACAATTTTCCCGCCATAATCACAGCACCGGCGTGGAAGTAAGCGCAACCGAATAGAAATCTGTTAACATATAGTATATTATAGAGATACCATCTGTCGAGAACTGAACAAAATACGCCATACAGAACTCTTAGTATTCGGTTTTGAAACAGCAATGTTCAATAACTGTCAGGTGTCCGATAACTAACGATTTACCCTACAACTTGCGTTCTTTTGTAAATAGAATCATAGAATCATAGAATCATCAACTTTTGTTGTTTCACTTTGTGTTATCAGTTTCAAATTTTCTGGTATTGAATCTGCCATTAGTGTTCCTTATTTGAAAATTCTGTCAATCTAGTACATTAGAAAATAGTGAATGCGTCTACATATGTACAAGCATCATTTTATCATTAACCCTCTCGTCCACCAGAAATGAAGAGCAACTTTTCAAAACGCATTTTGTCCAACTGGACAAAATTGAGGTTGAAGCGGTTTCTAAAATCATTTGTTGTGTTCTACATTCCTATATAAATAAAGCGTTCCAGACGCATTATATACCTGTGCACGAGGGATGTCTTTTAGGTTTTGCATATAGAAACATAGTAGGCCGCGCGGATCGAACGTCAGTACTGAATCTTAACCTCTTTCTTTAGTAAACTTAAATTCAAAGTTTCAGAACAATACGTGCAGTGTTCTCACTACAGTGGATTTTTAAGTGTCACCAAGTCATTAGAAAAATGGAACTCAACCGAGAACATTTTCGCGCCATAATTTATTACAACTTTCAGAGACAATTATCGCAACAAGAATGCCTTGCTGAGTTACTATCTGTTTTCGGCAACGAAGCGCCGCATCATTCGACAATTTTCCGTTGGTATGAAGAATTCAAACGTGGGCGGGTGAGTGTTAGCGACGATCCCAGGGCGGATGCACCAAAAACGACAGTCATCCAGGAAAACGTCGATGCTGTGCGCAAACTCATCATTGAAGATAGACATGTGACATACCACGAGATTGAGGCGTCCTTGAAGATATCAAAAACTCAAAAAATGTGTACAGCATTGTTAGTGGTGATGAAGAATGGATTTACTGTTATGAACCAGAAAATTAACGACAGTCGGCTGTTTGGGTGTTCCAAGTTGAAGAAAAGCCAACAAAAGTCATCCGTTCTCGAAGTGTTTCGAAAAAGATGGTTGCGACATTTGTGTCAAAAGCGGGCCATATTGCAACAATTCCTCTTAATGAGCAATGAACTGTTACAGCGGATTGGTATACCACTATTTGTTTGCCAAAAGTCATCACCGAGCTTCGAAAAATCAACCCCGAAAGAAGAATCATCCTCCACCAAGACAATGCAAGCTCGTACACAGCCCAAAAAATAAGGCAGTATTTAACGGAAAAAAACGTGGAATTATTGGACCATCCTCCATATAGTCCCGATCCAAGTCCTAACGATTTCGTTACCTTCCCGAAAATTAAAAACAGACTGCGTGGTCAAAGGTTCCAGTCACCAGAAGAAGCAGTTGACGCATTCAAAAATGCCGTTTTGAATCTGCCAGCAAACGGGTGGAATAAGTCCTTCGAAAATTGGTTCGATCGCATGCAGATGTAGGTATATGAATATTTGTGGAGAATACTTCTAAGAACAATAAAGTCATTTAAAAAACTACCTGCTGTGTTGTTTTATTTCCATATGCAAAACTTAAAAGACATCCCTCGTAATTGACGTGCAAAGTATAGGGTTTATATCAAAATGCTTTTTATCCACAGATGTAGATGGATCAAAACGCATCATCATTTTGCCGTTAGAACATATATCGACCAATACAGCTGCTTGACTGATGTTGCAACTGAAAATCCACTTTTATATCTCTGGAATGAAACACGAGTTGCAAAAGGTGCTAAAGAAATTTCTTCAGCTTAGTAGACGTCTTAGACAAATTGCATATTGATGACTCCAAAACCCAAATTATTATTTTCGCGTATGGTTCCGCAGGCCAGAACAAAAATCAGCACGTTATCCATGCCTTAACATTCTGGCAACAGAGAAACTCCCCAAGAAACATAAAACAGATAGTAACGTATTTCCCAGTTCGCGGCCACTCCTACCTACCTGACGACAGGGTATTTGGTCGAGTTGAGAAGCATCTACGAAAATTGAAAGAGGTGTTGAACCCATAGGTTATATCAAAATTTACAAAGAATACGGATCTGTCACAGTAGTAGGCGAAGATTGGTTTATCAAAAACCAGAAAGACTTAAGACAAATACAAAACAAATTGATGGAATAAGTGACATGAAGAGGATCTTTTAACAAAAATTTATAAAAAAGGCTACGTTGACGTTAAGATAAAACTTGAGCCCACCTACATATTCAACAACAATTCGAAGCAGCCAATGACGATAACAAAACGAGGTCATACTTATATCAGTGATATGCAGAATCGCTGTAACCTAGCACAGGTAAATAAAATCAAATAAGAAAAAAAACTGATGCCTGGAAGCTGCTTTGTACAAGATTTGGGCAAGACTGGGACGAAGATAACATCCCGCTATCGTCGTTTTTGTTTTTTAATTATGTGTTAGGGCCCATGGCAGAACCAGACACTGAAAGTGCAGATCCATACGTTGAAATTACGGATCCTGCCAAAGATGTAGCTCAAGAATGATCCATATGCGACTGCCTCGAAGAAGACCCTAACCAGGAACAAATTCATCTTTTTTACGTGTGCTTAATATATTATAAGTATTATAAACATTATTATTCACCTTTGTATATTTCAAAGAAATTAAATTAAAAAAAAATATATGTTTTAAATACTAGTTGGTAACTTCAAAATAGCTGTAAGCCGAATTTCACTGCCAACTGTTTTCTGTCAAATTAATAAATTTCAACAAATAGCATTATGTCCAATTTTGACCGCAGCAAAACGAATGTTATGCGTTGTGACGAAGCAAAACGCATTAAGTCCAAGCATTTTATATATTTTTCCACTTTTTCTGATTGGGTGGTTATCTGAAATTTGGTTAACTTCTGATGTAATTTTGAAGGTGGTGTTTTTAGTTAAAAATCAGAACAGCTTATATTCTATGCTGTAGGTATAACATCTACTTTGCTGCATCTAAAAGGGCCAGTCACTTTACTTCATATTTTCAGAGAAATTTATGATTTTCTAAAATCAGTGTTCTAGGGACTGACGACAAGTGATAGGGACTGACACCAAACACGGTTATTATGTCAAATCACATTTTTTATTGCAAAATCAACCGTAACAACAAAATAATCTCTAAGTTCACAAATTCTATGATTTATAATCTCAGTACAGGATTTATTTTTTTAATTATATACTTGAAAATAATCTATCAATATTTCTCAACAATCTGTAACGGTTTCACCGTCCGATCGTATTTATTGAATCACTTCTCGATTATCATTTCATTAATCCCATCTCTAGTTTTTTTGCTTGGAAAATTTTCCGCTTGGAGCGCTTGATGCGGAGTTCCTGATCTGCGATCTTCCTCGCGCTTCTTTTTCACCTGAGCCGCCGATCGAACAACGGCTAGAAATTTCTTCTCAGTAGCACAAGGTTATATAGCACCATGTGCTAGATTTCTAGAATGTGTGTCCGTATAGGACAAAAATGATTGGGGCCACCCCCTTTCTCTTTCCCTTTCACTTTGCCTAGCCTTGGCCAATATTTTCACCCATGCATGTACCTTGGCAGCGCCATCGCCTTTAACTTCGCCTACAACTGGTTGTGAAGCCACTATATGGAGGTCACCCCTCATAACTGGGACCTCCCCTTCAAACCCCTGGCCATCCTGGCTTCAGTCGAGTAAAAATGGACCAGCGAAAGATAAGTCGATAGCGTTATAGCAGCACCAAAGATGTAAAACTTATTTTGTTATTTTTGTAAAATTGTAATGTAATGAAAATGCCTTTTTTTTGTTAAATAAAATCTGTTAAATTTTTGTGTTCTGTTTGTTCTTCTATCCTCTAGCCATGCCATGGTCGACACACAGCTACACGCCTGTAGATGTCTTCATGCCACCGACTGAGCTACCGGAAGCTAATTGTAACCCCCTTTCTGTGATTGTGCAGAAAAGTTGGAATCTTCATTGCATTCCATCTTTTCTGGACTTTTTGCGGAAAGGAAGCGTTACATAAATTGGCGCCCAACGTGGGGCTTCGATAGGTGTTTGGCTTTGTCGACAAGTGGTTTGCTAGTGGAAGATTGGCAGACAGAACATAGTTTTCAAAATTCTTTACAATCTTTGGCAGCATTTCTATTTTTAATTGCTTTTGGTACTCAAATTTCTAATTCCTTAATCATCCTTACTTTTTGCTTAATGTTTAAAATTTTTATCAAAAGATTAAAATTTTTCCACCTGTTTATTTCATAGGCATACTATTAACTTTTAAATTGTCTTGTTTAGTAGTCAGCGAGATCATTGCCAGAATTTTTTTGTCTCACATACTACTACAGTTTTTATTTACTGCTGGGGACAGTTATAACTTTTTTCTCATTGTACTTTTGAGATTGATGATATTTTGATATTTTTTTTTGTTGTTGAATATTGATAGTCTGGGGACTTTAGGTTTCCCAGCATTTTTGTCGAATACCATCAAACTTTTGATTGAGGTTGTGACTATTGTTGTTGATAGTTTACATATTCTTATATGCTTTTCATTTTTGATCACTAACCTCTTAGTTTTTGAAAGTATTTCTTCATGTGCAGTTTTTTGATTTCTTGAGACTTTTCATGTACGCATATATAGCCTAATTGTTGGATCTCTGGTGTACTGATATAGCTCTCATGATGTTTGGTACGTAGGAAATTTACTTTCAAAATTATTTTTGCCTTCCCCAAATGTATTTACTTTTTGAATTTTTGACTGTACTTGAACTTTTAATCATTTGTTTTCATTCTGATGGCAATAATCTACTGACTAGAGTTATCTGGTGTAAATCATTTTGCGATTTATCCATTTTTCTGAATTATATGAAATTGATATTCATAATTTTTCGTATATTTTGGCGGTTTACTTTTTTTTA